ACTGATAGAGTGAGAGAATCGGAAAAGTGAGTGCGTAACAGTCAGAGAGAAAAATAGAGATAAAAAGAGTGTGCTTTGAGAAGTTACCCTGCGTGAAGGATGCCATTGTATGTAAATGCAAATTATTGTTGTTGTAGGGTGACCTCCAATGCTGTGCTGGGGTTGTGTTGCATTGTTGGCGGGTGGTGTCCTTCAGATTAAGCATTAAACTTAAAGTCTGGCTGTTCACGTGGATGTTAAAGAACCCACGGCACTAATCAAAAAGACAAGGGAGTTTCTCCTGGTATCCTGGCCAACAATCCCAGGTAATTTGTCGTTCATTTCATGGCTGTTTGTGATGTTGCAAATTGGACATTGTGTTTTCTGCAAATAAAGACACAGCACTTCACAGTAAAATCCTATGAAGTGCTTTGAAATGTTTCAGCAATCTGATCAAATGCAAGAATTATTATTATTGTGGCAGTATTGTGACATTATGACTCCTAATTAAAGCAGTTTTTGGTTCGTAATACAGCCAATTTATATTTTGTGTGCTGACCTGATTTCCGCACTGTTTTCAAACCTACAGTTCCCAATTATTTTGGATATCAGGTTGTCTACTGACCATATTACTTATCCTATTGTAATCCTTAAAACCCTGAGTGGGCAGACAGGATTGTAGTTTAACGTCTTATCCAAAGATCGGTATTTCTGACAATTGAGCGATCCCCCAGCACTGCATTGAAGTGTCAACCTAGACTGTAAATTGAAAGTCCCAACATGGGACTTGATCCCACAGCTTTATGACTCAGAGGCAAGATTGCTACCAAGTGAGCCAGGCTGACACGAGAAAGGGAAGAAATGCCACACTTTTTGAGCTCTTGTTAAACTTAACTATAAAAATAGTCTGATTTAAATTTAGTCTGCTTGCTCTCAACCAATCTAACGTTTATGTTTATTGCTTGTTTAAAATAGCTTGTTGCTGTCAGAACAACCTCAATGACTATATTGAAAGGGTTTGAATATTCTCTCCTCTTGGATTATCTAAGGTGAAATTCTACCTGGGTCCAGATTCTTCTATTTATGTAGCATTTACGTAGATATACGGTAATAGACCTAAATAGGGAGTTTAGAAAAAACGCCTTCTTACACAGAATGGTGAGAATATGGAACTCACTGCCGGAAGCTGTGGTTGAAGCAAATAATAATAATCCTTGCATTTGATATAGCACCTAATTAGCTCGTTGAGACAACAACAACTTACATTTATATAGCACCCTTCAAGGGTAGCGTCTCAAAGCATTTCAGAGAATATATTGTAAAGTAGAATGACTTTGTATTTTGTGAGCAAAATAATTCAAAATTATTTAGCATATTTGGAAAGCACCCAGAATTTGGAAAATAGTTAACTTCTGTCTTCACTTTGAAGTTGTTTTTCTCTAGTTGTTAGAGGAATTTGTGAAAATAAAAGCTTCAAAATTAATATTGTATTTAATGCAATATTAAATACAAGAATTAGCCAATTTCTGAATACTGCAAAATGCCACATTAATAGAGTAAATCTAGACCAAATGAAATTTCTCCCCAATCGTTCTCCCTCCTTCATTTCAATATCTTAACTTGTGTGGTGGAATTATCATAATGGTGTTATTGCATCTAATAATTTGGGTAAGACTATAAATATTTAAGGGGATCTCACTTGTACAGAGAGTTGGCAGCAGGATTTGTTTCACAGGTGACAAAGATCATTTATTCTGGGACAGAGGATATTTTGAGCTCCTGCAAGGTGATAATTCACATGTGAAAATTAACATGCAAATAATCACTTGACAGCTTTTAGCCACACGCAGCAACTAAGAATTAATTTTAAAGCTGCTCCGATGATCCAGAAATCATTGGCAGGCCTGGAATATAGGAATATCTCTCCAATGAGAATTAGTGGCAGCCAGTCACTCATTAAGAGCACAAGTGATTCAAGGTCATTGACAAGATGGGCCTGTTATGGCCCAGAAGAACCTTAGCAAGATTACATTGTATACATGATGTGCAGATTGAAATCAAAGTAATTTGAAGCTTGTCAATTACGTTCCTAAAATAAGCATCAAAAATGCATAATAATCAATCACTGATTCGTAATAATTAACATTAACATTATTGCTATCAGTGGTCTTTGTGTCCCGCAAGACGTAGAAAATAGTAACTGGAGGATCTGAAAGAGAATTTAGGAGGAATTACTTCATGCAGAGTGTCATGAGAACATGGAATTTGCTGCCTGAAGCAGTGGTTGAATCAGATAGTAAAGATGAATTTAATAGGAGGCTGAATCTTCACATGACAGAAAGGGGAATAGAAGGGGACAAAAGGCAAAATACTGTAATTTACTGGAAACCTGAAATAAAAACAGAAGTCGCTGGGAATACTCAGCAGATCAGGCAGCATCTTTGGAGAGAGGAAAGTGAGCTAACATTTCAGGTCTTTGACCTTTTGTCAGAACGACCTTGTTAATTAATAAATAATAACCCTTGCATTTGATAGAGCAGCTTTTATATCAGGAGGATATTGCAACGCACGACACAGGGTATACTGTAAAGTGTATTGCTAAATTCTGTAAGAGAATATGGCAGATAATTTGCATGCAGAAGTGTCCCTCAAACAACCATGAAGCTTCATGGAAATGTTCTGCACAGAAATCCGATCCCAATATGTGACAAACAGACAGATATTGATTTAATCGTTCAATTAAAATGCTGCTTCTGTGGTATATTTTGTTTTAAGTTTAGTATTGAGCTGTGATTGCCCAAACTAGCTTGTTGGCCTTGTATGAAGGAGACGCAAGGCAGATGTTATCTTCTATAGTTACCCATTGTGAAGCTAATGTCTGCATCACATATTAGTGATTTTTTAGTTTAGGTGATTGGCTTCTGCACTATGAACCTAAGCTATTTGGCAAGGAATGCTTCAGTATAAATGCTTCTCAATAAATGGCTGTATCCACAGTAAAAGGAAGAACTTTTATAGTGCCTTCTCGCATCAAAGCATCTCAAAGGGCTTCACTATTAAGTTCAGCAATTATTTTTATAGGTGAGCATTGCAGCCAACGTCCCGTCAACAAAGTCCCACAAAAAGCCATGAGGTGAATGGTCAATTAGTCTGGAGAAATGTTGGTTAGAACACTGGTACAAACTCCCTTCCCTTTTCAGATTGTGTCATGGGATCTTTCACATCCTCACAAAATCAGGCAGTGAAGACCTCAATTTAATGCCTCATTTGATAGGCTGAGTGCTACGTTGCCAATGTAACTAAATTCCCTGTATCGTTTAATACTGTACTTCCAAAAGTATATAATATCCAATTCCCAGCCTCGGTGAACAATGGAAATAGTTATTTGCAATTGAAACAGCTATAAGTGTCAGCAAAAAAATGCCATCTATACAGATACATAACATTGTGCATTTCTGCTACATTGATAGAGAATTTAATTCATTGCAAATGTGAATTGATAGCAAGTTTCTTCCTTTTGTAGAATATTGTCTTTTTACCCCTTTTTAAATATCCTGCTCAGAGCTACTATCCCTAGTCTGTATGCCTGAAGAGACTGCATGACCAATGTCACAGTTTGGCTAAGTATTGTGTTTTTGCCAATGTTGCTTAATGTGTGCTGCCTGTTTAAAATAAAAGCTTTCACTCGTCAGATCTATAATGGCTTGTAATCCTAGATTTAATTCAGACATCTTTTCTGAGAGCATATCATATATTCGCACTGCACAACTTTAGGCTTGCCCTCATGTTGCCATTATATGACTGAATACAGATATTATGAGCACATTCATAGTTCTGGCTCAAATTCTTGGTATTGAGGGCAGATTTGATTTTTCGGGCTATAACCTTTTAGAAGCACCTATACATTTTTTTTAAAAAAACATGGTATATTGATCACGTGATAGTCAAGATCTGAATAACAAGAAATAATATATGGAAAATCTATAGAACAAGGAAGATTAGGGTCCAATATGCAGTGTTTCTCATGGGTTCCATACTAAAGACTCAGTGGGGACTCCATCCAGCTCCGACTCTTGGGAACTCCCCTCTGACTCCTAGGAACTCAAGACACATTGCAGATCCTGGGTTCAAGCCATTCCTCTACTGAGTGCATTGATCTCAGGCAGAGCAGCAATGGTGATGGTAAAATTGCCCTCAGGAATCTTAGTTTGGAAAAAGAATCAAGGTTCCCAGTTCCGATTGTTATCCATTGACTCTCCTACTGTGGATCCAGTAAACGACTGGAAAGGTTTTGACACTAATCCCCCCCTCATGGCTAACACCCATTGTCTAAATAGTCACATAGAACTTACAATTTAGAGTTGCATAGAGTTCAATCCAGAGTCATATAGAACTCACCGTCTAGACTCTAGATTCACATAGAACTCAGGGTCTATTCATGTAGTATCCAAGTTGTTGTTGTACAGATGATGGGTTGAATGGCCCCCCTCTGTGCAGAATCCTTCACATTTCTGTGTTTCAATAGCCATTTGAAGTAAGTAATGGAGAATGTTTGTTGTCCATAGAACTTTACATCAGCACGATTCCGTACTTTTGGAAGTGAGGAGAGAAGAAAATTCCTGTGAGGGACGTGACCTTATTTTGTAAACCACACAGGAGCTATCGAGTTGGTGCCTGTGGGGTGCATGCTTTTAAAAGCTATTTGAACATGATTGTGTGTGTGTGTGTTGTGCATAAAGGATTAATAAATAATTCAACTAGGCTGTCAGAAGTCTTTAGAAAGATTAACTACAGAATCTGTTATGAAACACTGCATTTTTTATCACAGTATTACCAAAACATTCATAGTCAAAGATACTATTTTTATTTTAACAAAAACTTGCATTTACCTAGCGTCTTGGAATGCTTAACAGTGATGCCGAGCCGTGGGGGAGGGAGGAGGTGACCGTAAATTCAGTCAGAGGAAAGTCTTCAGGTGTAATCTGATAAATGAGAAGGAGGAGGCAAGGTGGAGGGATTGAGGGAGAGAGTTCCAAAGTTTTGAGGCATAGAGGCTGATAGCACGGTCGCTGATGGTGAAGTAGAGGGGACGAGGGACAAGCAGGAAGCTGGAGGCATCGGGTGTTGGAATGGGGAAGTAAGCAGGTCAGAAAGGTTGGTAACTGTTGTACGTAACAAAGTTTTGACAGTGCAGAGATGAGTGACCTACGCAATTCTCCAATATACATCCAAGCACTTACATGAAGCAAATGAATGAATTATTTTGTTCTGACAAATCCACAGCTCTTATCTTCTAGAGAGCAAATCGTTTTACCAAAGCTGGAAAGGGAAAATATTTTTTTCATTTACACGTTATCAATTTTCTTTTTTCATTTGGGACTTTCCAGTCTGCTATCTGCTTTCTGGGTTTAATGCAATTTGAGTCTGATTTGGAATTGTGAACATTAAAAACAATGTTGACTTCTTAGAACTGTGGAAAACTGACTTCCGAAATCAGACTGAATCTACTTATGAATTTTACAAAGCTCTGCTTAACCATAAAGCAATGATCTTACGGCTAAGACAAAGAGATTTTTTAGATCTTTGAACTTTCACATTCTCTGAAATGATGAAGGGGCTTTATAAATGGCAATGGGCAGATCTATGAGACAACAACTACTTACATTTATTTAGTGCCTTTCTTACAAAAGAATACCTCAAATTACTTGACAAATTCAGTGCTGCATACCAATCCAGACAAATAAGAGATGTGAAAATGTTGACCAAAGGTAGGCTAAAAGAGATCTTATTTTAAGAGATATTTAAAGCAAGGAGAGATATTGCAAGGTTAAGTGCCAATGAAAGCTCCCTCGAGTGCTTATTACTTACCTTGGCTGTTCAATCTATGGGTTTGCGAGTCTATGGAAATATGTGATAGCTATCACAAAGTACGAAATCTGTTCTTTGTAAAGGTTTCTTCTTTATTTTCCTTTAGATAATCCAGGCTTCCTGATGTGAAAGACCCTATACAAATGTAGTTTGTTATTGTTGTTGACCAGATTATCCATTTTGAAACCTTATCAAGTTAAGAGGTTGACTACCACTATTTAGTTACTATTGATTTCCTCAGTTGAATCCTAACAATTTTCCTTAGCTTTCCTCCATTCAGTTGATCAATCCAAATTCCTGGTGAGCTATTCAACTTGTAGAAACTCTCAATTATGGCACTAATTCAAGAAAACGTCTAATACTGGACTAAACGATGCATAACTCTTGTGGAACCTATTAAGGAGAACGAAATAAGTTAATAAATGTTTCAAATGTTTGAGAAATGAGCAAGATAAAGAGGTTTACAGTTAGTGTACAATTTAATGCTTCATCAAGAAAACCTTACTTATACTGTTTCCAATATTCGTGCCAAAGTTTTGTTTTCCTATTCTGAACAGACTAAGAAAAATATTCTGGCATCATTCTACTTGTTTAGTTGCAACAATTTAGACCAACCTACACAACTTACCAAAATATTCCTTCAACATATCTATCTCATCAGTTAATATCTGATTCATTTTTCATTTTCAGGAACTTGTCTAGTACCTTTTTGAAAGTTTTTACAGAGTTCTTTCTTCCACCACCGACAGTTTGTTTATGGGCCATCACTGTGCACATAGTCACTACACTTCACAGTAAAAATTGTATGAAGCACTTTAAGATATTTAGATGAAATGATAATGTGCTATATCAATGCTAGATTATTATAATTGAAAAAAAACTCATACACATTTGCCTTTTTCGTTGGTCCATTATATGGAACAGTGTTGATTTTACAGTGTTCCAGTGTTAGTATTTCTGAAATCCAGAAACCTTAAGATCTTTAAGATTCTGAAGGCACTGGATAATGTAGACCATGATTCGCTGTTTTATCTTGTACTGAACTGTAGAACCAGAGGACATGGCTTGTGATCGAAGGAGCGTGAATTCAGAACAAATCTGCGGAGACATTACTTCAGTAAGCGAGAGTGAACTTATGGATCAGACTCAATAGGGAGATAGTGGATGAAGAAAGTGTTGTTTGTTTCAAGAACAAATTAGATAGAATTCTGCTAGAAAATAATATCTTGGGATACAGTATATAGTTTGGGACACGACATGTCAACCAACTGCCAGGATGATGGAAAGTGAACCAGTTGGACCTTTGTCTTCCTTCGCCTAGCAAGTTCTTATGTTCTTATCCAGGCAAATATCATTTACCAGCTCATCCCTAGTCTATAACTTCCAACAAGAAATCCCAAAAATGTGTTGAGCACAGTCTCCGACACGTTGCTTGCCTTATGTTAACATGCACTTCTTAGGAGGATCTCTTATAGTACATCTCAGCATTATTTACAACTATAGTCAATTTAAGGCTTGCCGGTGTACGTTTGACAATTCATCCATAGCCACTTTAGTAAAGGTGGGAGTTACGTTTGCTGTTTTCCAATCCTCTGGAATTTGCTCCAAGTGTAGTGAAATGTGATAACTAACCATGAGAAGACTCACAATAACCTGAGCCAATTATTTTTAACTGTGGGATGGAAGTGTTGAGATCCTTGGGTTTCTGCAACTTCTCCAGTAAATCCTCTTTTGTGATCAAGTCTGCTCTCACTTAGAAACAGCAACCCTTACTTCAGGCGTTTCACCAAGCTATTAAAATCTAGCTTGCTGCAGTGATTGGGGGTAGGGGAGGATGGCTTTTCAGGTGGGATGAGATCGGATGGACCTTCTTCATCCAGATCAATCTTGTGGTCTCAACAATGAGCACTGTTCCCAAAGAGTGCACACTTTCACCAGAAATCAGTAGTGCGGTAAGAGCTTTCAAAATGTACTAGAAAATCCAAAAGTATGATCTTAATTTGCAGGTTTGAAATTATTTATTGATAGAATAGAGCAGTAAAACTTAAACTACTTTATGTTCTTTGTTCATTGCTTTATGACCCAATATTTATCCTTACCCTTTCTTTGCTTTTAATATACTATTTTTAGCAATATTTTCCTCATGTTTTCTCTTTGCAGTCCTTATCAACTTCTTAGCCTTTCTATGTTCACCTTCCTGCTCTGCTGATTTCCCAACATTATAGATATCTAAAGTGTTCTCCTTCTACCCATAAATATCCTCCATAATCTATCTTGGTCAGTCAAGTTGACTTTATCTTTCTGTTCCCCTCGCACCTTGTTTCAAGGATAAATTTATTTTGCTTTTTATAAAACTTTAAACTACTTTGCTTTCACATCCTTTCCTTTTAACCTCTCCTCCCATTGGTGCATTCCCTCATCCTAATATGTGTTAAAAGGTAAATAACCTCACTTCTTGGTCGTTTGTGAGATTGACATTGCTATGTGTAAATTGGCTGCCACATTCCCCTATAAATACAGTTGCTATATTTTACAGTAGTTAATGTGAAGTGCTTTGAGATGTTTTGACATGATAAGCTATAACACATGCAATGATTATTATTATATTAAACCTTCAAAATCAGTTTGCCTACAATTTAGTTTCTTTATGGACCTTCTATTTTCCCCTCGCTTGTTCTCTAATCAGAGAGCAGCACCATCATAGGAATACTGTTTGTAATAATAATATTAAATGCGGAAATCCAACCAGTCTTAGTCCTGGATTTAATGAAATGCTTACAGCACAAAAAAAATCGTAAATCTGTAATTTAAAAAAAAATCAAATTAAGTCTTCCTCCCAATAGGCTCTTATTGTCATAAAATTAGTCTGCAGATTTGTCAACGATGCATGTGGTTTTCTGAGATGGACATGAGCTGCTATTGCAAACAATTTAGAGGCTTCAGAATGTGACACTAATGTCCCCTGAGGACCCAAGAGATTAATTTGGATTACCTCGAAATGCTTACTTTAAACAGTTTAGGTTTTACAATGCATTATTTGCAGCATCATCGCAATTGGGAACCAGCCCAATACAATCACAGCTTGAAGCGATTCTGAGATATATTCTTATGTCCTGTGCTATGTATTTCAATCAGTGTTGTAATTTTCCAATAAGACTCAGATGTGCATAGCCAGAGGACTGACTTTCATTCTCTATTGCTGAACATTTTATAACACAACAGCAATAACAATAAACCTTGCATTTGATATCGCACCTTATCATGTCATCGAATCTCTCACATCATTTACTGTGAAGTCACTGTATTCTTGTAGGTGAGTGTAGCAGCTAATTTGCACATCAGTGTGCTATGAACAACTATGACGTGAATGATCACCCTCCCTTCTCTTTTTAAAGTGTATCTTTAATGTTCACTTAACAATTAGACACTGTTCTGCTTGTTCAGGTGGACATTAAAGATCCCATGACACTTTGTAAAACAAAGTCTACTTGTTCAGGTGGACACTGGTTTAACATCTCATCCGAAGCACAGCACATCCAACAATGTAACACAATCCCAGCACTGCATTGGTATGTCAGCCTAGATCATGTTCTCAAAGTCCTGATGTGGGGCTTGAACCCACAACTTTCTGACTTAGAGGTGAGGCTACCATCTGAGCCAGTCTGATAATGAGATCAAGAAAATTATCTATGAATGATGAAAATCTAAAAAGTGCAGGAGGGGAAAGTAAACCTATTTTAAATGACTGATCAACTCACTGTCTTTCACAAAAGTTCTCCTTTCCTGAGGATGCTAATGCTTCCTATTCTCTAGGAACTTACCCAAGTGGAAATTATTTGTGTGTGACCCTAGATAATGAGTGCTGGAAGCCTATTTGAGGACACAATAATATTTTTGTAGACCTTCACATTCAGGCACACATATTGTGTTAGATGCTGATCAGCAGTCTTGTCTCTGAGTCAGAAGGTTATGGTTTCATGCCCCAAATTGGAATTTGTGCTCATAGTCTCAGCTGGCATTCCATTGCATTACTGGGAGTGCTGCAAAGTTAGAAGAGTTGTCCTTGGATGCAGTGTAAACAATGTATGCCTCTTCTTCAGATGGATGTCAAAGATGCCTATAGTGTTATTTGAAAAGAGAAGGCAACTTTGACACTGCCTAACAATCATCGATAAAGCAACTACAGTATTAATATTGGGCTGAACATAGAGCTGCTAAAGCTGAATCCAAATTATCATTTGAAAGGAAAATGGATAACTACTTAAAAAAATAATATCGAAAAGTAT